CCCTGGGGAGCTTGCTCTCTGTGCATATTTCTTGCTTTAGGTCATCTGATGAAAACTTGCCTCTCTCCTTATTTAGAAGAGCTGGTTAGGGCTCAAACTCATGATAAGTATTAAACAATGTTTCCAAACCGAAGGTGCAAGTATAATTTTCTTTAAGCATACACTTCCTCCTCCTTCTATTTGATACTTGGTCTACGGACTCTTTCTTCTTAATGAACAGACCAAGTGGACTTCAGATCTCAATGAGATCTAGTTACGTTTAGGTGAGATCTAGTCTCTTCCTTACATCCAAGGCCTCTCCACCATGTGAACAAGGAAATAACATTGGGACTGCTTACTATCTGCTGAAGTCTCTGCTGCAGCAAATGGTACTGTGGCCACCAGTGAAAGGGGTACACTCTACAGTCTCCTCCGAAAATGTGAGCATTCTCGAAAGCAATGCCTCATGCCATTTAGTGTAAATGTAAATGAAGAGAAAGGAAGAATATAGATCACATAGTACTTGAAATTTCCTGGAAGCTGTTAATTCATGCTCTTTACGTAATCACCATATGACCTCTCATTAATTGTTTGCAGGCCATTTCACCAACTAAATGTTAAGCTCTGGTGGTAAAGGGGCAGGGTCCTGTAATTTTATTTTTATGGCCTGCATCCTTGCAAAATTCCAGGCCCATAAAGGAGCTTACTAAAGTTTGTCGTAGTATTTGAATTAACTAACATAACCAACTTCATAATTAACTACAAACTCATATTAATCACACTAAATGAGGGAAGGTGGCATTGAGCCATTAAGATAGCTAGTCTACAGAGACCATCACTGTGTGACATAGAGTCTCTATGGGGGCCTCCAAGAAGGAAGTGTGGGGTCTCTGGAAACTCCTTTTGGAGGCAGAATACTTGAAGGAGGAAAACATGTTTAAATAGAGAAAAGGGAGATTGTCAGGATAATACCCTGTTTTTAAAAGCCCTGTCCTAAACCACTCAGGCCACCCAAGAATGGAGCAGCGGATCTCACAAAGCCACAGCTGTCCTTGCTGGGCAGACGAAAGCTGAGTCTGAAGGACCCAGTGTGGGAGGAGCTTTGAGTCCTCTACGGCCATGTCTAAATTTAGGTGTCTTGATTCAAGGTGGCAAGCCCAACGTGCCCCTACACCATCCCCTCCATGGAATAAAGACCAACAGGAGACCAAGCCACAAGAAAAGTATATGTGATGGTGGAAGTATAAATTGCCCATGTGGCTCACCTCAGGGAGTGTCCTTCCCCAGCCCCTTCCAAGTCTTTTTGTGATTCATTTCCTAAGGAATCTGGCTTAAGCACTGCCCTCCCTGCTACCCTCCTGCCACACTTCTAGCAACAGTTCCTAAACAGAAAAACTTCCTAGTGTCTACCTAAGGCACCAGATATGTGAATATATTAGTTTTCAATTGCTACATAACAAGTTGCCTTAAAACATTTATGTATTATCTCATGGTTTCATGAGTTGGAAGTCCAGGCAAGTGGAGCTGAGCTGTTTAGGGCCTCACAAAGCTAACATCGTGGTGTCAGCTGGGGTGTCAGTCTCATGTGGAACTCAGTGTTCTCAGACTCATTCAGATTGATGACAGAATTTCAATCCTTGCAGTTGTAGAAATGAGGCCACATCTTCTGGCTGGATGTCAGCTGGGGGCTGCTTTCAGCTTCAAAGGCCACCCTAAGGTCCTATCCACGTGGCCCCCTCCACTGGCAGTTCTCAGTGTGGCTGTTTGTCTCTTCCAGGCTAGCAGGAGAGTGCCTGCTCTGTTTCCTGTTCCTTTTAAGGACTCACCTAATCAGGCCAGGTCCACTCTAGATAACAGGATAATCTTTCTTTTCCTGTAAAGACCAGCATAATAACCAGGAGTGATAATCATCATATTCATAGGTCATGCCTCTCCTCAAGGGGAAAGGATGATACAGGGTGTCTACACCATGGAGCAGGAATCTTTGGGACCATTTTAGAATTCTACCTGCCACCGTGAGTACAGTATATCTAAAATGTACTTTGTGTTTTATCTTCCTTAAACACTTTCTCATATATTGGCCCATGTTAGCAAGTTAAGTTAAAAAAAAAAAAAAAAAAAAAAAAAGTTAAAAACTATAAATAGCACTTAAAGGAGAAGGAAAGAGGCAAAGGTCCAGAACTCCAGTCTGCCATTTGCCCCCTCCTTCCCATATCAGCCAAACTTAGTTGTTTGCAGTAGAGAAATGCACATGACTGAGATCCCACTAACCAAAATGTCACCCAGCACTTCTGTTTATTATTCATTGGTCATTGTTGAGTTAAACTGGTCATTTTCACCCATTAAATGATGTGCTAAATCTGGAGCACAGGGAGAGAGAGAACAGTGAAGCCCTTGGGGAAGATCGCTTTGGAATGGGCTGACTTGGCTCCACTTGGCTGCACGTCTGGGTTCAGGCCATCCTCCCACCCCCCCTCCCCAACCCTGCAGAGATTATCTCCACTTCAGGTTAGTGCTGAAAGCTCTAGCATTTCCTGTACATAAGAACGTACAGGATACACCCGGCTGTGTAAGGATTCTTCCACCTGGCATGAAGTTTTGTGACTCCTCTCTGTTGTTGCCCATTCTCAAGATTCATTCCCTTTATTACCTGAGTAGCGTGATTACACTATAGTTTGTCTTCCTGTTTGGATGGACACCTGATATATTTCCAAGTTGTGCCTATTATGAATAAAGCTGCTGTGAACATTCCAGTATAGGACTTTTTGTTTACATAAGTCTTCGTTCTTTTGGGTAAATAAGAATAAAAATGTTGAGTAAGGATGTATATATGTTTAGCTTTATGATAAACTACATGAACTTTTCTCAAAATGGTTGCACCATTTTGTATTTTCATCTGATGTTTAGGAGAATTTCAAGCGCTCCGCATTCCTGATGACATTGGAGCTGTCAGGCTTTTCAGATTTTATCCATCTGATGAGTGTGTGATGGTATCTCTTTTATTTTTTCATTTCCCTGAAATGAAATTATGTTGAGCACTTCTGTAGTGTTTGCTGGACATTTGTGAATCTCCCTTGTAAGGAAATTCTTCAAATGTGGTGCCAGTGTTTCACTGGGTAGCTTGGCATTTTATTACTGAGTTGCAGGACCACTTCATGTATTCTGCTCACTAATCCTTTGGTGGATATACATTTTGCAAACGTTTTTCCCAGTCGGCATTTTGTCACTTCGTTTTCCAAATTGCATTATTTTGATGAAAAGAAGTTTGAAGTCTATCTTCTGTCTTTTTAAATCTTACTTATGATTTTTAAATAAAAGGGTTTTAATTTCAATAAAATCATATTTCTCCGTTGTTTCATGATTTTTTAAGAAATCCTTTGTATCCCAAGATTATAAACAGCATCTCTTACGCGTTTTTCTAACCCATCACAATTTTGTTTTTAATATCTAGTATCTGAAATTCATTTTTGAGACGGCTTGAGATGAGAATCTCAGCATTTCCTGCAGACATGTAGCCAAGACCTCAACCACATGTATTAAGGAGTCTGTTATCCCACCACTTTGCATTCTTTTTTCCCTTCTATGAACTCTCCCTCAACCATCTGCTTCCATGGTTCCGATAACCAAGTAAACACTGAAAAGGTCAAAGTCTTTCTGTAGCCCAGGATGGCAACTTCACTGACTCCTCGCTCTCACCTACACACGTTCTTGTTACTCAATCTAATGGCAAATATTTTAAATATGTACAAAATCTGACTACTTCTTACTAGCTACACCATCACTCTGTCCAAGTCATTGTGACCCATAATTTGGACTCCTGCCTTAGCCTCCTGACTGGTTTCCCTGCTTAATCTATCACCCCAGCAAACTAGAATGATACTGTTAAAACTTAAGTCAGATCATGTCATCCTTTGCCACAAACTCTCCAAACATTCCCATCTCCAATTAAAAAGCAACTGTCTTAAAGCAAGCCTCCAGGGCCCTACCTGGCTTGGGTGTCCCCTGCCCATTCTGTCACCTTTTCTCCCACTCACTGACCCCGGTCCAGATCCATTAACTCACTACCTGTGCCTCAGAACACCAGGTGTTCTTCCTATGGGCTTTGCAGTGGCTACTTTTGATACCGAAAATGCTTTTCTCTCCAATACCTGTGTGGCTCACTCAATTACCTCATTCTGAGCTTGGCTCAAATCTCATCATTTCAGACAGCCTTGCTTTGCCTTCTGTTTAAATTGAAACCTGTGCTTTTCCCTATCCCCATCCCAATGTCCACATACTGCTCTGTTCTCCATAGCAGTTGTTACCAACTAATCTACGACATCATTTATTTATTCTGTTTTTTAAAAATTATTTCCTCCCCTCCAACTGGAAGGTAAACTCTATAAAGGCAAGGATTTTTGCCTTTTTGTGGTTGATTCTACTGCACTGAGTGGTCCCTAGCATATCCCAGATGCTCAATAATATGTTAAATAATGAGTAAATGAACTTCCTTCTGAATATTACCTACATCTTCCACAGGCCCCTCACACTATTACATTGAACTTACTGTATTTTTGCCAAAACTACCCATGTCCATCTTACCCACACTAGATAGCTAGAATAGGCCTGGTCTTATTACAGTTACCTATGTCACCTTCCTCTGTTGGGACCTCCTTGCCATCTCACTGTCAGCTCCTGCAGACCGGGAGCTCTTTGCCTCTTCTTTGCTTGGGTAACTGCAGTTTCCACAAGCCTCCTTGCCTCTGTTCTGGCTCCCATTTAATTCTTGCTCCTCATGCAGCCACAGGCATATTGCTAAAATCTACATATAGTCTTGTCCCTTGTTTGCTTACAATTCTTCCATGACTCCCCTTACTTTCAGGATGATGAACAAATCCCCCAAGATGGTATTGTTACTAGTGGTGAATCTGGATGGGTCTGCAGCAAATTTGATCCTTACCTCCTTAGAGGAAAGAATTTGGCTGAGGGTCAGAAGTAGGTTTAAATCAGAGGGAGAGACCAAGGCAAGTTTTAGAGCAGGAGTGAGACTTTATTAAGATGTTTTAGAACAGAAGCAAAAGGAAGCAAAGTACACTTGGAAGAGGGCCAAGCAGGCAACTTGAGAGGTCCAAGTGTCTCATTCAGCCTTTGATGGAGGGTTTTACACATTGACATGGCTCTGGGGTTCCCTTTTCTCTTCCCTTGAATCTTCCTTTGGAGCAGGCTGTTGCTCAACTACTGCATGTGCAATGTCGGTCAGCAGTTAGGAGGGTGACCGCATGTGTAGTATATTTACGAAGATTGTGCACATGCTCTCTGAAGGCGATTTTCCTTTACAGGTGGAATGCCTCCAGAGGAACATCATACATCAGTCATTTTAATTCTCAGTTCACATGCTTGAGCCTGCTCATCCAACTTCTAAGATCTTGTCAGGAAGCTGCTGATCACCAGCTCCAGGTGTCTTCTATCTACTGGGAGACCGTCTTACCATGGAGCCAGCTGCAACCAATTATCGTTTCAGAGAGCCAGTTGAACAACCACCTGACATAACTTGATGGTTGCCTGACATTCTTGGGATAGGGGATCCTCCACTGCCCTCCTCATGCCTGCCTAACTACCTACTCTAACATTCCCACCCACCAAGAGTCCAAGACCCAATTCTTTGGGATAATGGACAGAGGTCAGTCTTCTGTAACTGCTTCCTGCTGTCAGAGGGGTGGTAGTGGTTGTTCTGTGGGTCTTGGCCTCTTGCTGTCAGGGCAGGATGGATCTGTGAGTTGGTGAAAGTGGTATGCAGCCAGGTCAAAGGGAGATGAGACAGGATTTTACCTCTTTCATGTTCCACTGATGAGCAGTCTAGGGATTCTCCGTAGAAGGATGACACTTGAATATTGAGAGGACAGTATCTCTCACTGAAGATCATCTAGAACTTGATGGCCTAAAAGTGAGAGAAGACAAGTTGGGTATTAGATTTAGAAGACATGAACCAAAAAGGAGCAAAAGTAGGAGACTAACAAATAGACCTAAAATGGAAGAATCTAGGAGAACCATTTCCAGGTTCCTTCCCAATCTAACCAGCCCTGACAGGTTAAGGTGGCAAATGGAGGATGATCTCTTTGCTCCCAGGAAGAGGGATGTTTACTGTTACTGGGTGGCCTGGTTCTTCTCAATTTCCCATTGGAACAGAGTGTTCCCTGAGACACTCTGCTCAGAGAGGAGCACTGAGCCTGCCGCACAAAGGCAAAAGCCCGTAATGCTCACAGAACCAGCTGCGAGCAGTGCCTAGGAGAAGCGCTGGGAGCAGAGCGATCTGGCCAGACCAGGGCATTACATAATAGTAAAAGGATCAATGCAACAAGAAGAGCTAATGATCCTAAATATATGTGCACCCAGTATAGGAGCACCCAGATATATAAAGCAAGTTCTTAATGACTTACAAAAAGACTTAGACTCCCACACAATAACAGTGGGAGACTTTAACACTCCACTTTCAATATTAGACAGATCAACAAGACAGAAAATTAACAAGGATATCCAGGACCTGAACTCAGATCTGGACAAACAGACCTAATAGACATCTACAGAACTCTCCACCCCAAATCCACAGAATACACATTCTTCTCAGCACCACATCACACCTACTCTAAAATTGACCACATAATTGGAAGTAAATCACTCAGCAAATACAAAAGAACAAAAATCATAACAAACAGTCTCCCAGACCACCATGCAATCAAATTAGAACTCAGTGTTAACAAACGAACTCAGAATCGCACAACTTCATGGAAACTAAACAACTAACTGGCTCTCGAATGTTGACTGGATAAACAGTGAAATGAAGACAGAAATAAAGATGTACCAAAACAGAGATATATACCAATGGAACAGAACAGAGGCCTTGGAGGCAACACCACACATCTACAACCATCTGATCTTTGACAAACCTGACAAAAACAAGCAATGGGGAAAGGATTCCCTGTTTAATAAATGGTGTTGGGAAAACTGGCTAGCCATGTGCAGAAAGCAGAAACTGGACCCCTTCCTGATATCTTACACTAAAATTAACTCCAGATGGCTTAAAGACTTAAATGTAAGACCTAACACCATAAAAACCCCCAAAGAAAACCTAGCTCCCATAATTCCCACATGTTGTGGGAGGGACCTGGTAGGAGATAACTGAATTATCAGGGTGGTTTCCCCCATACCGTTCTTGTGGTAGTCAATAAGTCTCATGAGATCTGATGGTTTTATAAGGGGAAACTTTTCTCGCTTGGTTTTCATTCTGTCCTGTCTGCTGCCAGGTAAGACATACCTTTTACTTTCCGCCATGACTCTGAGGCCTCACTATCCACACGGAAAGTGAGTCCATTAAACCTCTTTTATATATATATATAAATTACCCAGTCTCAGATATGTCTTTATCAGTAGCATGAAAACAGACTACTACACCTTGTTCCTCCTTCCTTTCTCCTTCTTGTATTCCCCAGTGTCTACTACTGCCATTGCATGTCCACGTGTACCCAGCGTTTAGTTCCCACTGATAAATTAGAACATGTGCTATTTGGTTTTCTGTCCCTGAATTAATTTGCTTAGGATAATGGCTTCCAGCTGCACCTTTGATTTTATTCTTTCTTATGGCTGCATAATAGTTCCTGGGGTATACATACTACATGTTCTTTATCCAATCAACCACTGGGCAGCTAGGTTGATTTCATGTCTTTGGAATTGTGAATGGTGCTCTGATGAACACACAAATGGATGTGTCTTTTTTATTTTCCTTTGAATATATACCCACTAATGAGATTTTTGGGTCAAATGGTATTTCTGTCTGCAGGTCTTTGAGGAATTGCCACACTGTTTTCCACAATGGTTAAACTAATTTACACTCCCACTAACAGTATATAAGAGTTCCTTTTTCTCCACAACCTTGCCAGCATCTGTTATTTTTTGACTTCTTAGCAATAGCCATTCTGAATGGTGTGAGATGAGATTTTTTTCCTTTGTTTCTTGGCCACTTGTGTGTCTTCTTTTCAGAAATGTCTGTTCATTTGACCACTTTTAATGGCATTATTTGGTTTTTGCTTGTTGAAATGTTTAAGTTCCATATAGAGTCTGCATATTAGGCCTTTGTTGACTGCATAGTTAGCAAATATTTTCTCCCATTGCATAGGTTGCCTGTTTACTCTGTTGACAGTTTCTTTTACTGCGCAGAAGCCTTTTAGTTTAATTTGGTCCCAATTTTCAAGTTTTTGTTTTGTTGCAATTGCTTTTGAAGACTTAGTCATAAATTCTTTCCCAAGGCCACTGTTGATATGGTGTCTCCTAGGTTTTCTTCTAGGATTCTTAAAGTTTGAGGTCTTACATTTAAATCTTTAATCCATATTGAGTTAACTTTTATATGCTGAAAGGTAGGGGTTCAGTTTCCTTCTTCTACACATAGCTGGCCAGCTATCTCAGCATCATTTATTGACTAGGCAGTACTTCACCGATTGCTTATTTTTGTCAACTTTGTCAAAGACCAGATAGCTGTAGGTGTGCAGCTTTATATCTGGGTTCTCCATTCTGTACCATTGGCCTATGTGTCTGTTTTTGTACTAGTACCATGGTGTTTGGTTACTATACCCTTGTAGTATAGTTTGCAGTTGGGTAATATGATGCTTCCACTTTATTCTTATTGCTTAGGATTGCTTTGGCTATTTGGGATCGTTTTTGGTTCCAGGCAAATTTTAGAATGGTTTTTACTAACTCTGGGGTGGGGGGGGTGGAATTATATTAGTAGCTTGATAGGAATAGCATTAAATCTGTAGATTGCTTTGGGTAGTATGGCCATCTTAACAATATTGATTCTTCCAGTCCATGAGCATGAGCCGTTTTTCCATTTGTTTGTGTCACCTATTTCTTTCTGCAGTATTTTATAGTTCTCCTTGTAGACATTTTTCACCTCCTTGGTTAGATGTATTCCTAGGTATTTTGTGTGTGTGGCTACTGTACAAGGGATTATGTTCTTGATTTGGCTCTCAGCTTGAACATTATTGGTGTATACAAATGCTACTGGCTTTTGTATGTTCATTTTGTATCCTTAAAACTTTACTAAAGTCATTTATTGGTTCCAGGAGGCTTTCGGGTTTTACAGGTATTAAATCATATCATCCATGAAAAGAGTTTGACTTCCTTCTTCCTATTTAGATGCCTTTTATTTCTGTCTCTTGCCTGATTGCTCTGGTAAGGACTTCCAGTACTATATTGAATAGGGGTGGTAAGAGTGGGCATTCTTCTCTTGTTCTAGTTCTCAGGGAGAATGCTTCTAGCTTTTGTCTGTTTGTTGTGATGTTGGCTGTGGGTTTGTAATACGTGGCTCTTATTATTTTGAGGTATAGTCTTTTGATACCTAGTTTTCTGAGGGTTTCCATCAGGAAGAAATGCTGGATCCTATCAAATGCTTTTCCTGCATCTATTGAGATGATAATACATTTTTATTTCTTTTTATGTGGTGAATAGCATTTGTTGATTTGTGTATGTTGAACCAACTTTGCATCCCAGGAATGAAGCCTACTTGATTGTAGGTGAACTAACTTTTTGATGTGCTGCTGTATTTGGTTTGCTAGTATCCTGTTGATAATTTTTGTGTCTATGTTAATCCGGGATATTGGCCTATAGTTTTCTTTTTTCATTATGTGTTTGCCAGATTTTGGTATCAGGGTAATGCTGCTTTGTAGAATGAGTTAGGGAGGAGTCCCTCCTCCTTGATATTTTTGATATAGTTTCAGTAGGATGGGTACCAACTCTTCTTTTTCATCTCTAGTAGAGTTCAACTATGAGTCTATCTATTATGGGCCTTTTTTTGGTTGATAGACTTTTTATTACCAATTCAATTTCAGAACTCCATATTGGTCTCTTCAAGGTTTCCATTTCTTTTTTATTCAATCTTGGGAGGTTGTATGTTTCCAGAATTTATCCATTAAAAGGGTTGTTTAGTCCAATTATAGTTAATGTAATTGTTTATATGATTGAGTTCAAATCTGCCTAGGATAGAAGAGTTCTAGGTGTTCCATATCCTTACTTACATTTGAAATGACAGACATCTTTTAAACTTTATTCTGGTGAATGTGTAGTGGTATCTCACTGTGGTTTCAATATTTATCTCCCCGATAACTAATAATATTGAGCGCTTTTTACATACTTATTTGAAACATTTTCAATCTCCTTTTGTGAAGGGATAAGTACCTATTCATTCCCAGGGTTGCTTTAAGAATATTTTTTAATCTTCATAATGTATAGTGTCAGCACACAATTGTCATTATTACTAGGGATTGCTCTCCAATCAATGTGGTGGATGTTACATCCTCTTTCTGAACCACTTCACTCCATGCTAGGCTTTGCTGTTAATTTCTTCAATTCTCACAGAAAACATTACTGCTAGTCTTCTATGGAAAGCAGACTTTTACTAAAGGTTTAGGGTCATGGTAGGAAATGACAGCATCATACAATAAAGGCATTAAAAGTTAAATGTGAGACATCATTATCTTAAAAGTCTTGGCTATTTACTTTCATCATCTTGCTTATTCCTGGAACTCCTTGTTCTCCTCAGTTTCTCCTTACCAGGCCTTAGGTCCCTTAACTCTTCACTCCAGAGTTACTCACAGATAAATTGCTCTCTCCGTTGTCTTGCACACTTCAACTGTTTTTATATTTTTATTCTTTCTTTTCAGAAAATTCCCTACAAGTGAAGACTAAAGCTCTTCCTTTCAGTATTGAAAGATGCTCATCAAGACATTTATCAAAAACAAAGTGCATTTTCTTGAGTTTGAAACATTATCATTTCCTTGGAACGCTAAAATGGTTGCAGTTAGTCACAATTTAATTATGAATGTTTCTGTTTTATCTATAGGCATATATGTTATATCAGAAGGTATTAATTAATTAACAAGGGACTATTCA